CTAAGTGAAATGAAGGGAAATGCACAGGAAACCAATACTGATGAAAAAGAAACTGAGACTCCAATCAAGGGAGTGGACCAAAAGGAAGAAAAAAATTACCAAACAGAAAAGAATGAAGAAACAAGAGTTCAAAAAAATGAGGAGAGGCTTAGGAACCTCCAGGACATCTTTAAACGTTCCAATGTCCGAATTATAGGGGTACCAGAAGGGGAAGAGGAACAGTCACAAGTGGAAACCTTATTTGAACTTCCCCAATCTGGCAAAGGAAATAGACTTCCAGGAAATCCAGGAAGCTAAGAGAGACCCAAAGTAGGTGGATCCAAGGAGGAACACACCAAGGTACATCATAATTATATTAGCCAAGATTAAAATGAAGGAGAGAATCCTAGAAGCAGCAAGAGATAAGGGGACAGTCACCTACAAAGGAGTTCCCATCAGACTGTCAGCTGATTTCTCAAAAGAGACCTTACAGGCAAGAAGGGGCTGGAAAGAAGTATTCCAAGTCATGAAAGCCAAGGACCTACACCCAAGATTACTCTATCCAGCAAAGCTTTCATTTAGAATGGAAGGGCAGATAAAGTGCTTCTCAGATAAGGTCAAATTCAAGGAGTTCACCATCATTAAGCCCTTATTATATGAAATGTTAAAGGGACTTATCTAAGAAAAGGAAGATAAAAAATATGAACAGTGAAAGGACAGCCAGCTCGCAGTTATTAACAACCACACCTAAAAAAAAAGCAAACTAAGAGGACAGCTAGATCAGGAGCAGAACCATAGAAATGGAGATGACAGGAGGGTTAGCAACAGGGGAGTGGGAGGAGGAGAAGGGGGGAGAAGGTACAGAGAATAAGTAGCATAGATGGTAGGTAGAAAATAGACAGGGGGCAGGGCAAGAATAGTATGGGAAATATAGAATCTAAAGAACTTGTGACACATGGACATAAACTAAAGGAGGAAATGGTGGTGACAGGGGGTGTGCAGGATGGAGGGGAATGAAGGGGGTAATGGGACAACTGTAATGGCAGGATCAATAAAATATTTTTAAAAGTGGGGGGAAAAAAGAACTTCCAGGAAAGGGGCCTGGGAAGTTGCATCACTCGGGGAGTGTGGGGGCATTCATTGTACCCCTTCATTCTGTCATAATGGACCGGGTTAGTGGTGCAGATGGGACCAGAACCGAAATCTCCTCACTGCCCCAGGGACAGTAGCTTGTCCTCCCATGATCTTTCTCTCTCTCTCTCTCTCTCTCTCTCTCAATCCTCCTAACAGGGTAGGATTTTGTGAGGTAAGTATTTTGACCCTTACTTTACAGAGGAACCGAAAACAGGTAAAGGGACCTATTCAAGATCCAACAACTCAAATGCAGTGGATCAAAGTTTTCGAGCAGGTCCTCCTGGCCCAGTGCAGGCCCTCACTTCCTCTCCCACCACACACCACCTCTGCTGCAGGAGGTCTGCTGAGATTCAGGCACACCTGCGAGAAACAAATACACTTCCCCTCAGTTACCGACTGTAAAGGAAACAAAAAGCCTAGGTCAAAGTGTACCCTTGGGCAAACTTCTGCACTGTTCTTTAGTTAGCTGATTGCTTCCCCCTAGCCTTCTAGAAAGATCTAAACAGGTTCTATTTATAGTTGACCCAGAGAGCACCAGCTCCCTCCATCTTCGGGCTCCTAAGGCCGCTATCATTGGGCTATCACAGCTGCCATAATCTGAGTGTGGGCAGAATGGGGACTGAAAACTTTTTGCTGGTTACCCAAAAGCCTTGATAACATCATCTTTCGCAGACTGTGCTAAGAAGAAACCACTTCCTCTCTCCCCTGAACTACTTGCATATTTCAAAGTTAATTGCCCAAACCTCAGCTCTGTTGACTTAATTGCTTCCCTGTTCAGCTGACATCACCCTCCTCTGGCCCATTGTGGGAATATGAAGGAAAAGGAGGCAAGGGACCCCTCCCAGCTTGGGGACAGCTTGGCTTCTGAAGGCTGCCCCCCCCAGGCTCAGCCTCTGCCCACACATTTTCCCTTCCACCCTGAAGGCTTAAGTCCTTCCAGCAGGTCCAGCCCTGTTTCTGTGGTCAGTAGTCATCCAGAAACAGTGGCAAAATGCCCTTCACAGCCACATTTCCATAGTCTTTGCTAAGCGTGGTGTCTTCCATAAATGATTCATGGGGGGACTCTAAGTGCCTTTTATGTTCTAATACCCATCTCTCTCTGCCAGTCCATTATAGATGAACTAAGATACAGAAGAGTGGTGAGCCCTTATGAAAGATTACCCCCTGTGTGCCCAAAATGACCACGCTGACCTTAGCAATATTAATCCCTGGCCCAGCTTTTGCTGAAGACGTCACACCCACCCTCAGTTCACTGGGACTCTGGTTCAGTGTATCTTTCTATCTGTATTAAGTAACTGGTGTATATATTTTTAAATCATGAGCGTGTGTGTGCAGACACGATCACAACACTTGGATCCGAGAATCAAAAGATGGCAGGAACTGTCCAAACATCTTCTAATCCATCCCCTTGCATCTCCAAAGGCAGTGGCTAACTCATTCTAGACAGACTTATATGGAACTTGTTTAAAAAAGAAAACAAGACAACAACACAAGTGTTAACCCCAGAAAGAAGATGTGAAACCCTTTTCTGTAGCCTGATTTGGTGTTTAGCGGGTCTCCGGAAGGTCCTCACACCGCTGTGTTGGACATCCTCCTTTGTCTTTAGTGCAGACAGAGAACAGCCCACCAAGTGAACAAGGCTGATGTGCCATGAGTAAATTATGAGACGGTGCCTGTGCTTCCACTTCTATTTCCCATCAAGGCATCTGTTGATTTAATTGATGCCCTCTGCCTTCTTTAAAGGTTACTCTGATATTTAGCAGGGTGTTGGGAGAGGCTGAGGAGTGATCGATTGCACCTGCCTTTACTCTTCTCCATCATCACTGTCATCATACAAGTACAAACATTTGCTGCCTGGACTCCACCTATTCGGAGCTGCTTAGCTTGCTTAATTTTATGGAAAGCCTCTGGTGAACCAACAGTAGTCAGACTTAATGATCTCTCCTTGGTTCTGACATGGCTTGAACTCTCTCAACAACTTTTTTGAGGTCCCCTTGAAGGAACCAGAGTTATAGGGCCTGGATGAGAAGACCCTCAGGGGAACAGGATACTGGATTCAAGGACTTGATTTTCTTGGAATGCCCCTGTATTTGTTTTCTATCGCTGTTATAACAAATGCAGTGCCTTAAAACAACACAAATTTATTATCTTTTGCTTCTGAGAATCAGAGGTCCTAGAATTAAGGTGTCAGCAGGCTGCATTCCTTCCTGGAGGCTCTAGGGGGAAATCTACTTTCTTGCCTTTTCTGGTTTCTAGAGGCTGCCTGCATTCCTTGGCTCCTGGACCCCTCGTCCCTCCTCAAAGCCGGAAATGGCTGGTCAAGCATTTCTCACCTCAAATCCCTCTGAAACTGGCCTTATGCCTTCTTCTTCTATCTCCTAAGGACCCTTGTGATTATGTAGGATCCATCTGTATAAACCAGATTAATCTCCCTATTCTAAGGCCATCTGATTCACAACCTTAATTCTCCCTTGTTATGTCACATCATGTCTTCGGAGGATTAGGGTGTAGACATCTCTGAGGTGCCATGATTCTGCCTACTACAGGCTCTAACTAGTCGACTTAGGGATGGTAGATAGAAGCTGCTGAGAGTCCAATTCCAGGCTGTCCAAAGTTCAGGAGACAAAAAACATTTTAACAGAGCTGCCTAAAGGTAGGATTGATTGCTAGTAAAGATACTGAATTCCCAGTTCCTACAGGACTTCAAGCATAGACCAACAGGCCAGTTTTTCATAAATAACTGGTTATCACATGCCAAGCACTCTGCTAAGCCACTGTCTAAACTTTTATCACTTAATCTTCACCCGAGTTCTACTGAATAGAAGTTATTGTTTTGGAGAAGATAAATCTGATGCACAGAAAGACGCAAATGAGAATCCCAGCTCTGCTGACCTTCAGCAAGTTCCTTAACCTCACCAATCCTTAGGTTCCCCATCTGAAAAATGGGCAGAATGATGAGATCCACCACAAGGGAGAGTTATAAAAATTAAATGTGATAATAGTATCTAATCCATTGATTTGTTGAATCTTATATGAAATATGCTTGGCCCAATGTCTGTCTTATTGTAAACACTCAGTAGCTCTCATTATAACTCAGCACCTTACACTTAGTAGGATGCAGTGGACTCCTTGGGTATTTTTCCAGGACCCAAAATCTCCCTGAATCAGATTATGGGCCTCAGGCAGCCATGGCTCCCTCATGTCCCTGATCGCCTGGCCATGGCTGATTGGACCACAGGTGGTCACCTGACTCAAGCTACACCACTCGACATTCTCCCCCAGGAGTCTGGAATCAGACCCCTGGCAGACATTTGACTCGGTCACTTTCCCTGCTCTTGGTGCTGTAGGATATTTATCTTTTCACCAGAGTACACAGAGGAGTAGAGAAAAATCGGTCTTGATAAAGAAAGGATTAAAACAGTTGCCCAGAAAGCACCTGAGAGAAGAGACGGCAGGACCAGACAGCACCCCACACCCTCCTTCTCCTCCCCTTCTGGACCCACCCGTTGCCACTCATGGGTTCTTGAGACACCCTTGTTTCCCCCTAATATGTCCTTGTTTCAGTTTAGTAGCCTTGAGTGGGTGTCTGTTATTTGCAACAAAAGAGCCTTAACGTACAGGGGTTCACAAATATTTGCAGACTGTCGGAGCAGGAAAGGACCTTCAGCCCCTCTCTTTGTTTACCCATCAGGGGCACAGTAGCACAAAGAGGTTAGGTGGCTCATCCCAGGCAACAGTGAACCAGTGGCAGAGCCAGGACCAGTACCCAGAACCTCCTGCCTGCCCTGGTTGAACTCTGCCTGTAACCGAAACACAGGTCCAGCTGCCTGCCCCTACAAAAGCCAATACTCGAGAGGCAGGTGTTGATGGAAAGGAAAGTGGTTTATTTATAGATGCTGACCATCTGGAAGATGGAGACTCGTCACAGAGCCCATGTCCTAGAAGACAGGGGACTCACATCTCAAATTCCATCTCCCCATCTCAGTGGAGGCAGAAGTCGGCGGGAGGGAGAGGGGAACAGAACAAAGAGATCGAGGGAGGGGGTTGCAAAGTTCTCTGCATGCAAATGAGCACAGTGCATTCCAGTAGAGCAAGTGATGGTCCAGTGCTCATCATCCTGGTTTCGTCATCCTGGCTGCACATCATCCTGTCTCCAATGGTTGAAGGTCAGCAAATCTGCCGGAGCTGGGATGCCTGAAGGTCAGGGTCTGCACCTTTTGAAACTAGTTCCTAGGATTCTCAAGCAAACATGCTGTTGATCTACAAGTCACATATTAGAGTCAGCACTTACAGAAACGATGTGAAAAGAATGGTGGGGTGGGTTATAATTTCCCACCCTTACATGTCCACCACTGTGGCTGTCTGTAAACATGTTTCTTCAGCTCTAATTCATAGGGTTTGGGAAGCTGACATGACTGGCAGGTGGTGCAGTTGGGGACTGGGAAAGGTCACAGGGTCTTGGAAGAAGTTCAAAGGAAATTTCACAGTGGGAGACCAAAAAAACCCTAATTTTGATGCAGAATTTGGGACTCTTCCAACAGCACCTGGGCCTGCTTGGATGATGCCGGGAAAGAGAGGAGCCAGGAGTTCATTAGCATATATGCAAACAAGGCCTTCACAGCTGTCCAGATGCCACCTCAGCTTGGAGCACCCAGCTCAGTGGCTGGGGCCAGCTTTCATCTATCCGCTCAGCCTTGGAAGAGAGAGACGGGCTTGCCCGTGCTTCCCACCACACTGACAAGGACACTGAATCGCCCAACACCCCTGGGCTGGAGGAGCCAAAGACTCACACCTCCAGAGTCTGAACTGGAGGCGTTCCTGCCTCTCACCCTTACGCTGGACAGAAGGCATAACCGACGATCCAGGATTCTAGTGGTGGGGTTGTGCCTGCAGGAGAGCCCCCCACCCACACGGGGCTCCCACACCACGTGGACAATCCCTTCTCCACTGGAAGGCTTCTCCTTCCCTTACTGACCCCAGGCAGAACGAAGAGACCAGACCCCTGGCCTGGTGGGTAGGGAGGCCTGACCCAAGCGCAGCACTGGATTCCCTATTACCTAAGTCTCAGCCTTGGTTTCCCTTCTATAAATTTGGGGGAGGAGGGCAGCGAGCTTACAACGTGTGTTTATAGCCACGGAATTTCTCCAACAAAATTTCTGATGGACCAACCATCAGGGACAGCTGCGCTGCTCCCGTTGTCACGGCGCCAGTGGGAGAGGGGGCCTGTCACTGCCTCTGCCCATCAGAGCATGTTTCAGAAACCAGTGGGCTTCCTGGTCCCTGAGGGCCCTTCCTGCTGCCAGCATCTGTGATTTCAAAGCCAGGAATGGCCGCCTGACAGGAGTGGGGAGGAAAAACACGGGGAGGCTGAAGAAGAGTGAAAAAGAATATCAGCGGCAAGCCCCAAGGTCAGCCACCACGTTCTGCCCTCAAGTTGTGTTGGTGGAACAGCCCTCAAGAGAATCCTGATGGAGGCCCTCAGCCGCCCTCCACCTCCGACCCAGCCCCAAGGCCCTGGGCAGGCTTTCCTGAGGTAAGGCGGGCTGGCCCACCTTGTGTGCCCCAGGGGCACTCTCTGCCCCTCTGTCTCTCTCTCTCTCTCTCTCTCTCTCTCTCTCTCTCTCTCACACACACACACACACACACACATATCCTCTCAACTTGCTACTGCTTTCTATCTCTCTCCCTCCCCTCCCCTCCTGCCTCTGACCACCCTCAGTGACCCGGCCCAGCCCAGCCCGTTCCTGGGAAAGTATTCGAACAATACCTGGAGGAGGGGATCAGGTCACCTGGGGTGGGGGTAGGAGAGTAGCCCCTACAAAACACACAGATGGTTAATTCCCTGGGCGATTCTGGGCTTTCTGGCCCCACCCCTCCCTCTCTCCTCTGGTTCCACTCCCAGCTCCCAGCACCCCTGCCCTGCTGACAGGCGGGTTTGCCCTGGATGGCAGTTAGCTAGCTGTGGGACCCAGTGAGTCACTCTCCCTCTCTAGGGCTCAGTTTCTTCCCCCGGAAAAGGAAGGTCTTGCATTGATAAGGGGTGTTTAAGCTTTTTGGATGTCACAGACCCCTTTGAGAATCTGAGGCAAACTGGGAAGACAGACCCACACACAACTTTACAGACAAGTTGGAAGCTCACCCATGGTCGAGAGAAAGGCCATCCAGGGGTCTTGGCCGTGCTCACGTTGTGAGTCCAGGACCCGGGTCCAGACCCTCCATACCACGCCAGCTGCACCTGTTCCTGAGACACCAAAGGAGTCACTTGGCCATCCTCCCCCGCCATGCCTGCATCCCAACTTCTCTTACCTTCTCCACATCTCTGACAAGAGCCCTGTTCCCTGCACGCCCTCCCTCACTTGCCTTTTTAGCCCTCACCCACCTGCTCAGCCACGTGAAGGAGGTGAGGAGGAAGGCAGGAGAGGAAAGGTGGAAGAGGAGTGCGTGCCTCAGTGCGCAGGTAGGGAGAGGCCTCCAGCCCCGCCTTCCGAACCCCCAAACCCTGGCTTGGGGACTGTGGTCTGCAGTGTGCCCACAACACACCCATGGCACTGGACATGGCCCAGCAAGTCTGGCCTGTGACCATCCGCAGGCTTTAAGTAACAGGCCCTGATCTGAGATCCAGGGGCCCCTCGCCTCTCCTTGAATCCACTGGCTCAGCACCGTTCATGCCCCTTTACTCAGGCCCATTAGCAGCTCCCAACACTCTGTTCCCTCACTGAAGGCCTTCCAGCCCCAGGTTCCTGTCTCATTCATTGCCTAGGATTCCTGTGCACACTGGCCAGCCTGGACCACTAGCCACATTTTCTTCTCTCTCTCTCCACCCACTCCCATTATCTAATGTCCACCTTAGTTCATATGTCACCTCCTCTCTGAAGCCTTCCTAGCTTTCTGTCCAGCTGGAACCCTCCCCCGCCTGAACTCTCAGGGAACATTATGTGACAGCTTTTGCGGCCTTTGCCACATTCCCCTCACCTCCATGAGCAGTAAACTCCGCAGTATGAGAGAACACGACTATTCGGTGGGTGCCTGTTGCGTGCCAGACACAGGGCCAAAACCTTTACCTAAGTTGTCTCATAACCTTCCCACGACGGTCAGATATAAGGTAGATATAATTATCTCCACAAAGAGACAAACAAGAGGCAAAGCCAGGGCCTCCTGATGCCCAAGCCACGCACTTTCCTTGGCCCTATTGTACCACCTTGGTTTCTTAAGGAAACTTATGTCTTGAGGGAAGGATCTTATTCACTTTTTCTCTTAAAATCAAGTTATCACTACATGTGTCCTTAAATGGCGGGTAAGAGAGCAGGAGGAGAAGGAAGAGGGGGGAGGCCCCACGGAGCAGGCACTGCTCACACAGGATTGTCTTTAACCTTCACAGTGACTCTACCGGGTGGGGTTCATCATCCCTATTTTACAGATGAAGCAACTGAGCCTCCCAGGGTCATGCAACGTGCTTAACGACAGTCACTGTGAGCGGCAGCCTGGGCCTGCACTCCGTGCCCCTGTGCCGTGGTCTCAGTGCACACCAAGGCAGGAAGGAGCCCTCCCCAAACCTCCCTCCAGTCGGGAAATGGGTCCACACGTGGTAGAGTCCAGTGACTTCTGTACTAAAATGTATTTTCTTACTGACTTCCGTTGTGTAATTGGAGCTGCATTCCCGGGAGTAGTCATTCTGGCCTCAAGACATAATTAAAAGCATACAGGGGCACAGCGTATATTTTTAAAATGGCATCACTAGAGGAAAGCTAATGATTTTATGACACAAGAAAAGCACAACTATAAGGTCACCCCAACAGCTGCCTTCCATACCCCACTTGCCACCCCCCAAAGTTGGAGGAAGATGGGCCCTAGTGCTTACCGAGGCCTTTAAAGTCCAAGGGTAATTGTGAACCACCAGGTGTGAGTCCTGTACTTCCAGGTGTTCTTTATCAGCAGCTTGAGCCTGTACTTGTCTGTTTAGGGACTAAACTAATAATGTTATTTTTTCAGGGTCCTTTGTGAGCTTTAAAGAGAAAGCTGGTCTTTTTGCCCCAGAGAAGCATGGAGATCCTGTTCGTAATTTATTGTATTATTTATTTAAGTACAAAGTGGATTTCCTCCAAGAGGAACCCAGGGCAGCCCACTTAACATAGATCCTGTTAATACCGCAGTGGGACTTAAGAATTCGGGCTTTAAGTGGGCCGTGTACCCAGGAAAGAGAGATGGGCTCAGCCACGCTGTCCTTCCCACCCAACAGAGCCACCGTCCCCCTCCAGGGCCCTGGCTGCAGTCTGCTGCTGGTTGTGCCAGGGCCTTGCCCCAGGGGGACAAAGACCATTGTCTGTGCTCCCTGCCCCACCCCCCTTTATTCCCTCTGGTTTGCTTATTCATTCATTCATTCATTCATTCACTCACTCCCCTGTCCATCATCCTTCCAGCCACTGAACATGTACCAAGGCAGCTGGGATTCAGCAGTGAGCAAGACGGAGTCTGTGCCCTCAGACTGGTCAGTCTGATGGGGAAGGCAGAGAGCAAGCCGACAGATGTGGCAGGGAGTGCCAGGTGCTGCAAGAGAGGAATGTACCAAACCTGACAGGGGGCTCTGCGGGTAGAGTGGTGCTCCCCAGGCAAGTCAGAAAAGAGGAGAGAGGACTGAGTTGACCTTAAAACTGCTATAGGTGGGGAGAGTGTGGGAGCACGGAGGACTGTGCCATTCTAGACAGGACACAACTCAGCCCGTTGATGAAAGGCAGAGTGGAGGGGTGGAGAAGCAGTGAGTAGCTGTGGACCATGAGGATCGGATTGTAAGAAACCACTTAAAAAAGATTCAGACTAAAGTTTAAAGAGCTGAGAATAGCTTAAGGAGCTATCTTTTGGAGGATGCACAGAGGGAGGGGAGAAGGGGAAAGGAAGGAGGCTCTAATCCCACACATCAAACACAATGGCAGGAGAGTAGCTGGGAGGCCTGCGGCCCAGCTCTCACGGGCTACAGGTTCTGAGAGCCTCTGACAGCAGCCCCCGGCTTCAGAAGGAGATCCTCAGGGAAGGCATGACGACAGCTGGGGCTCCGTGGGAGCCTCTGCCCTAGATCTGGGGTGTAGCCCAGGTCTCAGTGCCCAAGACATGAGTCCCAGGCCAGACCTTCTTCTAGTGTCCCTAGAATAAGGGGGCGGGGACTTTGCTCACAATCTCTCTCCAGTTGGAAAACCCACGCCAAGCCCCAAACCGCTGCTGTCGAAGTCCTACACATCCTTCCAGGCTCTGTTCTGATGCACCTCGCCCTTCTGAATGTGCTCCCCCGCCGGCACGCATTCGGGACCACACATTGTCCGATTCACACTCTGAACTAAAAAGTCACGTGTGTACCTCCTGGTGCCCTCAGTGGTCCACGGCTTCCTGTGGGAGGCTCTATTGCTGGCAGCGAGCTTTGCATCCTCCGAGTCTGCAGCCCATAGTGGACGGTCAAGTCGTGTTCTTCCAAAATGGCTTCCATAACCCCTCTGAGCATCTCTGCAGACACAGAGGACCCGGAGGTGTGAGGGGAGCGGAAATGGGTAATGGCCAAGGGCTGGACCCCTTCTGGGCCCTCCTCAGCCCACGGTACCTGGGAGGCCCTCCGGAATTGTGTTTTCCCTCTGTTTGGGGTTGAGCCTGTATTTAGTCCCTAGAGGGACTGGCATTATTTTTCTCAAGGTTTCAAGGGGGTTGAAGAGCAGTTCATATTTCTCTGTTTGGCAAATAATCTGTCCCCTGCCTCTCCTCCCAGCAATCAGGAATCCCAGAAATTAAAGCCAGAGGGACTCAGGTTTCTATCTGAGGAGGGGCCGAGGCACTGAGCCTGGGAAATCCAGCCAGGAGGTAGGGGTGTGGGTGGGGGGCACCAGACCTGAGATTTTCTCTTGGGGCAGGGCGGTGTGGTGGGGGGGGAGGGGCAAGTAGTAAAAGAAGGAACCGTTCTGGATGAAAAGCCCCAGTACTCGGAGGGTAGGCTCCAGTTCCCCACCCAGGTGAGAATCCTCTTTTTCAAACCTGAGTTGGGCTCGGAGGACCAGCAGCAGCCATTCCCCTCCCTCCTGTGGGCACAGCTCTCGGGGTGGAAGGAGAGAGAGCAGACGCCAGAGCTGTTTCTGTGCTGGCAAGGGGCAGGCAGGAGTGAGTCCCAGCTGAGAAAGGCAGGCTGGGCCCAGATGCCAGCAGACAGAGCGCCCGAGCAGGGGGAGGGATGGAAATGAACCAGGCCTGTGAACAGAGGCTTGGAGATGGCTGGCGGGCGCTCATGCTCAGAGCAGAGCTGACACCTGAATCTCGGCTTGCCTCCCCCCCCACCCCCGAGAACACTTTAATGAGGCTCACAGCTGTAATATCACAGAACGAGCATTAACAATGCTAATTACCTAAACTTTAGCCAGAACATACTGAACCCACCAGCCTGGGGAACACATTGTTGTTCTGGCCCCAGTAAAGGCAGTGCCTGGCTGAGGCTCCTGATGAGGGAGGTGCCAGCAGAACACCTTGGTAGGCCAGGGGGTGGGGAAGGGGGGAAGTGAGCACCTCAGGCTGCAGGACCCCCAAGGGAGGAGGAAGTGAAACCTCCTGGTCACCACACGATGCTCCTCTGCTCTGCTTAAGAGAAACCAGGGGGAGAAGGCTGGGTGGGGGTCAGGCCCCCTTTGGAGAAAGCTGGGAGCAGAGAAACTGCGTCCATTTTTACCTGGCAGATGGTCATGGGATCTGGTGGCCACATATCAGCACACTGCCTTCCACAGCTGCAGGGGACATCCCTTGAGCCCCTCCCACCATGTAGCCCCCAAAATGGTTTCAAATTGTTGCGTTTTTTTAAGCAGTAGAACCAGCACTTTTTGAAAGATAAAATCAGAGTTGAAAGTTGGAGCTCAAGAGCCTTCCTCCACCCTCATACCCCGATCGATGAGAGGTCTCTAGGCCCCAAAGTGCCTCCCATCAGCCTAGGCCTCTGCGGAATCTCCTTGGCCAACCAGCGCTGTAGAACAACCTGACCTGCTGGCTTCCTTTTGTCTGACATTTAAAGCATGGCATTCAAAGGGGCTGTGTGGGGAGGGGCTTTGTCAGACGGCCCAGGGCCTCCGGCACAGGTGAGTTTGGGTGCGGATGTGGGGGTGCAGGGGCAGTCCTGGGTGCTCGCATGCAAACCCACCCAAACCTGCCTCGGCCTAGGACTGACTGGCTTTATAACAAGTCATGCTTGTCCCTACAAATGCCCAAAATGACCCGCCTCGGTAATGTAAGACCCAGAGCTTCTTACTCGTCTCCCAGTGTCCTTTCTGCTCCCCAGGAAGGGAAACCACGTTACAGCTCTGCCACAGGGCCACTCCCTTGGGCTCTCTCTAGCAAGGGTGCCGTCCCATCGGCCCTGTCCCTTCTTCTTTGTAGCCCCACCACACACACACACACACACACACACACACACACACACACACACACACTTTTTGCTCTCCCCAAGGGAAAAACAAAGGAAATCCATTTTGCTCTGAGTTTGCTGAACATCATTTGGGTCCCTTTAGTGTGCCCACCCCCGTCCCTGTGACTCCCCAGTCTGGTCTGTGTCAGGTAACTCTCCCAGGCTCAGTCTCCCCTGTGTATCTTTTGCCCCCCCTCCCCCCAAATCCTCGCAGCAACGAAGGCGGGGTAGGGGGTTGACACACAGATGCAAAGCTGAGTTCCCTGGGGTCAGAGTGGAAACATCACAGCCATCCACACAGATGAAAGGCCTGTGCGTGGGCGTCTGTGTGATCTTTGCCTGCCTGGGCTTTGTCACGTGCCTAGGTCCCCCCCGCAGCCAGAGTGAGCCGCTCAGAATGGCCAACCAGGCTCCCACCTGGCCTTTCTGCTCTGGCCCCTGGGTGGGGACGTGACTCCCTCTGTGGAGATGGCTCAACCACCTGCTCAATGGCCTGTGTCTGCAGCAGCAGTCAATGGCTCCTCTGCTAGAAATAACACCCCGTATCATGCTTCAGAAAGGAAAGGCCGACGTCTCGCAGTTTCTGCTGAGCAGGGGAGCGCTTGCTAAGAGGGACCAAGGGCGATCTGGCATTTCTCTGTTGCCATGTCCACCTATGCCTTCCTGAGAGGCACAGGTAGATTCCCATGAAAGCACACAGACTTGAGACAGGAAGTCCCTGCTCCGGTTCCAGCGCCCCCAGTTTCCTCACTGCCCCCGTCCACCATGAGCTGTGCTACTATTCCCTGCCTGGTTTGTTAGCCCCATGAGGATGCGGTGGGGCCTTGTCTTCTCTGCTGCATTCCCAGTGCCTAGCACATAGGAGAAGCTCTATTTACTTATTTAACTTAAATTTGTTTATGGACGACCAACTCCTGGCTTCCATCCTCGGGAGACCAATTCCCGCCTGGCCCAGGAGCCCTGCCTCAGGAAGCTGTTCCTTTAAGGTGGTTGCTAAGCAGGCTCGGGGACTCTCAGGGCAGATGGGTCTCTGGGGAGCCCTGTGCTCCTCGCCCAGGGTGCCCACCACCTCACTGCCTTTAATGGAAGGTGGTCTCTGACCCAGAGGGAGGGAGCGATGACTCAGCTGCCCTCCAGATGGGTCTCCCCTGCCTCAATCCCCCACCTCGGCTGTGAGTCACCTCTGAGTCGCTGGCCTCACCTCCCCGGGAAGTTCCATAGGTTCTCTTCGAAGTGCCCTGTCGTCTTCCCAGAGGGGTGTCAGGGGTCTCAGCTCTTGGCTGAACTGCCCTCGATACCCATGAAAGCTGCTGTGATGGCGGCTTCCCAGGAGCTCGTGTGGATGTCGGAGTCAGAGTTCCATCACCAGAAGCAACCGAGACCTGGAATGTGTTGCTCCTGCAGTCTCCTCGCAGACATGGAAGCACCAGCAGTTCTTTGAAGCCTGATGCACATGCACGCATGTGCTCACACACACATGCACACGGCACTCACACATGTAGTCTCACCACACACCCCACCAGGGAAAGGCTCTACTTCCACAGGATCTATGCATTTGCAATTGATTTTTTTTAAAGGCTGACAGTGGGGGAGGGGGCAATAACCAAAAGTTCCGGAGAGTTTTAAAGACTTTTATTTGTTTACACATTCTCTAAATTGCAGACAAAAAAAAAGATTTGCTACGTGGGTCAACACTGCTAACCAACCACAGAACAAGGTACTAACCACAGCAAGGAAGGGATGGGCCTGTGCCTTTGCCTTTGAGAACGTGCAAGGGCTCCACAGTGGGGCAGGGGTGTCCAGGGCTCCGAACATAAAGGCTGACCAATGTCTGTCTCAAGGTGGCCGCTGGTCTCGACCTCCCCAGGCCCCACTCCCAGAAGCCAGCCAGGACGCAGCAAAGGCAGGGAGAGCAGAGCAGGAGGGGTCCTGGTTCGAGGGCGGCCCTTCCAGCCAGCCCTCTGAA